GAAGGGAATTTGGATGATGATGGTTATGAGCTTCACTTGAAGAAGTGATGCATATTTAGGTGTAGGATTGATTGGTAATGCTAGAAATCTTGAGCAAATACCGTAATTTGGTAAAGCTTATCAGTGGGCAATAAAGGCTTCATTTAGTCAAGCTAGAATCATCAATAAAATTCATATATCTATAGTAGAACCTAAATAATAGAAAATATTCTACTTCCTACAATAGTGACATTTTGAATTTTGGCTTAAATATTCTACATTTACATTTATTTCACCTTTATATAATCTGAGGATTCTTTTTCATAGCTACTTTTTCTTGCCTTGACACAAAATAACTGTTAAGCCTAAATATTCTCCCCCAAAATTTTGGCAGTCATTACTTCTAAATGATTGAGAAGATAGTTATATTTAAAACATTTTACACGTTCACAGGAAGTTGCAAAAGATCATACAGAGAGGTCTTTTTTTAAAAAAAAAATCTATTTTTAGAGAGAGGGGAAGGGAGGGAGAAGGAGGGAGAGAAACATCAATGTGTGGTTGTCTTTTGTGTGCCCCCATTGGGGACCCGGCCCACAACCCAGGCATGTGCCCTGACTGGGAATAGAACCAGCAGTCCTTTGGTTTGAAGGCCAGTGCTCAATCCAGTGAGCCGCACCAGCCAGGGCCCCACGTGCTGTTTTTATTTAAGCCATAATACCTGAATAATTTTCCTTAAGAATTTTTGTGTAGTGGTTAAATAAGACTGAAAATGAATAAGGGGTAGAATGAATTTTTTAAAAAAATTTTTTTAAAAATGTCTTTTATTTTTAGACAGAGGGGAAAGTAAAGAGGAAAAGAAACATCATGTGTGGTTGCCTCTCACATGGCCCCCACTAGGGACCTGGCCTGCAACCCAGGCATGTGCCCTGACTGGGAATCGAACTGGCAACCCTTTGGTTTGCAGCCCGCGCTCAATCCACTGACCTACACCAGCTAGGGCTGAATCTTTAAAATGTTAATATTTTCATGCTGTACAAAGAAGGGGTGGAAAAAAGAGATATTTTGCATCTTATTACTCAACTCCTGCAATATTTGTAAAAGTTCTTACAGAAAAAGCTCAGGCAAGGGATTCTGATCAGCCTCTTCTACCTTGCTACTACCATTAAAATCTTCTGCTGAGGTTACGCTTTGAGCATTCACATGGGACATAAATGTCTTTTTCACCTTAGAAAAAAACTAAAGCAAAAGTATTTCCTAAAAATTAAGGTCCTGGGTTCCACCTTAGGAGAGTGTTGGCATTTGGTGTTGGAGGCAGTTTTAGGAATCTCTATTTTCAAACACCAGAGTATTGTGTGGCAGATTTCCAAAGACTGCTCTTGAGAAATTAGATTTGAGGATTTTAAGACACCATAGCTTTGTTGCTACTTTGTATTATTCAAGTTACAGTTGCATAGGTTAGTAGCTTTCAAACTTTTGAGCATAGTTACAAATACATTTTATATGTGAATCCATATATATACATAATATGAAGCAGATTCATTCTTGTTACATATATTTACACGGATTTTCAAAATTTACTTTAATCATAGTTGTGAAACCCTTGGAATTGATTTCACAACCAGCCTCTCCACCCTCAGTTGAAACGTTGCTGTGGTATTGCACACGTAAGGGTGACGGCATGATTACTGGGATGGAGTAGAATATTGATCCCTCTTGAAGTGCTTTATCTTTCTGGCCCTTTCAGGGAGTCTTATTACTTAAAACTATTTTTCTGCTTTTGCCAATCATCCACAACCCAGAATTACCAGTTTGTACTTATTTTTCCCCTTTTCTTTTGATGCTGTTTCCTTTTACCCGCACACAGTTAAGCACCTCCCTGTGTTATTAAAACATTTCATGTTTGTATTTTATCTGCCTAGGAGGGAGAGGCAAGGGAAAAAAACCTAGATGAGGAATTAATGTTCTTATTAATCCCATGAGGGTAAACACATCCGATTCCACAGCTTATTTGACATAAACAACTTCAATGATTGGCTGGGTTATCCTCACATTGAGATTATAAATTTAAGATATAGGAAGATCTAGTTAATTGTTAGTTGAAAATAAATTCAAATTACTTAAAATGAAGTAAATTTTAGCCAAGAAAAATGGCCAACATTTATTGGCCTTAATCCTTACGGTGGGAAAGAATGTTAACCCATTTTACACTCGAGAAAACTGAGTTTAGAGAGGGTTAGTAACACCTGAAGGATACAGGTTGATAAGAGATGGCTGTGAAACTATGTCAGACATTAACATGACTACGGTTTAGTTATTCCTAAAAAAGGGAAGAAAATTTGTTGCTTGTTCAGCTGTGGAAATATGTGAAAATATAATGGGGACAAAATGATGGCTTCTTGTGAGTTACTTTTATTGTTGATACTAACAGTGGTCTTACTTCAGATAAGTTATATTATTTTACAAAGCTCTGCGATAAAATGCAAGAATCACCTCTCCTTTGTCCTGTCATCTTGAAAAGGTGGTTGAGCCACTTACATATAAGAAAAGGCTGAATACTCAAAATGCCTTGCAATTAAGTAGTCAGGAAGCAAACATTTAGATACCAGCTGCTATGCTAGAATAAAAAGCCACTTTTTGCCAAATCTAACAGTGAGGAGGGTGTCCTTCCTTTGTGGGCTAGCGCAGACCCCGAATTGCCTCACCTTAGGTTAAAAAAAAAAAAAGGCTTTCCTCTTCCTTTGTGGTTTCTAAGTATTTGCTATAAGTTGTTGGTTTGTGGTAGTCAAGCTAATAATGCTTTAGGAAAAAAACTATGTATTAGATGCAGATGCCCTGGTAGTGTTGGCTCTTCCTGTATCCTTGCCCGATTTTAGGTGTGTCCACAGCCTAGCCATTAGTTGCCTAATGTCAAGATTTCTTTTCAACAGATATTCTGAACCTTTTGGGAAAATATGCGTACAGAACACTTGCATCTAGTATCAGGGTTCTGCCTGACTACCTGAAGTTAATCCTTGAGTTCTGAGTACTTCTGCCTTTAAGGGTTGGCAGTATATTGGGTTGTCCAGAAGTCTCATGTAGTTTTTTCTGTAAAAGACAAGACACATTTTTCATTTTCGCCAATAACTGTGGATTTGGATATTTTGAGTATGTTGGCTATCCTACTATTGGCTTCTAGTGGGCAGAGGGCAGGGGTGCTGCTAAACATCTTCCAACTGATAAGGCAGGCCACAGCAAAGAATTATTTGGCTAAAATGCCACTAGTAGTACCAAGAAAGTTCACAAACCGCTTTAGACATGTTTGGTCAGTCACAGCACCTTCCATACACAGCACAATTTATTTATTTATTTTTTTACATTTCAGTTGCGTTTTTACCTTTCTTGAAATAATATAGCATAATATGCTGAAAATGTTGCATATTCCTTCTATCTTCAATATTAAAATGGCTGCACAAAAATTTACCTATTTTGATGGTTTTTTTAAATGCAAGCTGATAATGACAACACAATCTAATAAAATTACTTCGAATGAAGGTAAAGAAGCACTACTAGAGCCATTGTATGGAAAAAAAAATACAGGAACTTTTTGGCCAATCCAATAATTGTATTGTGTTTAATGCTGTTTGGCTCATAGTGTTTAAAATTAATATGTTAACATGCATATGATGAAGTTGTTAGTGTGACTTATTTTTATGTGCAGGAATCTGAGTATAGTGAGTTTAGTGTAAGGGTGCTTGATGTTTAGCCCAGGCAGATTAAGCCACAGCTACTTCTAATTATACGTAAGCAACAAGGTTATTGGCCCTGTTTTATTGGAAACCAAGAACAGTATAAAGATTTGTGTTGCATGGCATTGCTTTGCAAACCAAATCTGGACCCTTAAGGAGTTAATGCATCTGACTAGCATGAAAACAAAGGGCATGTTTATGTGTGGATGGATGCAGGCATGTGCACGTACATAAACGTTTTTATTGGGTTGCGATGTGAAAATACAGGTTGGGGCAGAAGTAGATTCACAGTTTTGAGTACGTGAAACATGGTTTATTCTTGTATTATAACTTATTAACTGTATGTTCATATGGAAAATACAATAATTAAATTACAATACAATACAAGAATAAACTTCCCTCCCCCCTCCTGTTCCCCTCCCTTCCTTTGTTTTGAGAGGGGAAAGGAGGAAGAAAGAAGGAGGGGAACATTGATGTGCAAGAGAAATATTAATTGGCTGCCTCTGTGTGACCCCAACTGGGGACCTGGCCTATAACCCAGGCATGTGCCCGGACTGGGAATCAAACTGGCAACCCTTGGGCTTCCTGGATGATGACCAACCCAGTGAGCCACAGCAGTCAGGGCTACACGCTGTCATTTCTTAATGTGTGATATGATTTTAAAAAGTTAGAAACCCACAGCTCTGTATCTGTCTGCTTTTGAGGTACTGCTTTTGAGTATCGGAGTTTCTAGTATTTTTATGGGGGTTGGTGTGGATGAACGGCTTAAGAGTTCAGATGCAAGAATAAAGGGGCAACTTTTTGAAACTTTAGTGATTAATAAAATAGAGATGGGGTTTTACTGATTCAGTATTTTGGGGGTAGCTAAGGGTGAATTTATTTTGTGAAGCTTTTTTGAAAGCCATTGTAATCAGAGGAAGATGTGTATGTTGTAAATTTATAATTGCATTTATTGGACATGCTGTGTATAGTTCAGTGAATGTAATGTCAGATGTTTAATATTAAGGTGTCTGGTGTCCTTTCTGATTCAATACTGGAAAAGTCTATTCTAAGTAAGTCCAGCTATTCTGGCATTGCGTAGAGCAACCGTTTGAATATATCTATTTTAACCTAAAATGTGGGACCAATGAAGTATGGAGGGCTTTGGGGTTTTGGAGGGGAGGTAGTTAATAGGTTTTGTGTTGTTTAATATGAAATAATTTTCAGAAAAGGTCGTGCAAATAAATATTAGGTATTGTTTAAGAAAGTGTATTATAGCCATTCACTTAATCCTTTTTTCTTCCATTTCTTTCAAAGGTTTGGGCCCCATGGGATCCCCGTGACAGTATTTCCCAAAAGGGAATATAAGGATAAGCCTGAAGCCATGCAGCTGCAAAGTAATACATTCCCAGAAGGGACAGAAGTCAAGTGCGAAGTGAATGGTGCTGTTCCCGACGACCCCTCTCCTGTCCCGCTGCCCGAGCCGAGCTTGGCTGAAAGCTTGTGGACTTCTAAACCACCACCTCTCTTCCATGAAGGAGCACCTTATCCTCCCCCTTTGTTTATCAGGGACACATATAACCAGTCAATACCTCAGCCACCTCCTCGGAAAATTAAACGACCCAAAAGAAAAATGTACAGGGAAGAACCTACTTCAATAATGAATGCTATTAAACTACGACCAAGGCAAGTCCTGTGTGACAAGTGTAAAAACAGTGTTGTTGCGGAAAAAAAGGAAATTAGAAAAGGTAGTAGTGCAAGTGACTCTTCTAAATATGAAGATAAAAAACGGAGAAATGAAAGTGTAACTACTGTGAACAAAAAACTAAAAACTGACCATAAAGTAGATGGGAAAAACCAAAATGAAAGCCAGAAAAGAAATGCTGTAGTTAAAGTTCCGAATATGGCGCACAGCAGAGGCAGAGTAGTCAAAGTTTCTGCTCAGGCAAATACATCAAAAGCTCAGTTAAGTACTAAAAAAGTGCTCCAGAGTAAGAACATGGATCATGCTAAAGCTCGGGAAGTGTTGAAAATTGCCAAAGAAAAGGCACAAAAGAAGCAAAGTGAAACCTCTACGTCCAAAAATGCACATTCAAAAGTCCATTTCACACGTCGATATCAGAATCCTAGCTCAGGTTCCCTTCCACCCCGGGTTCGTTTAAAACCACAAAGGTACAGGAACGAAGAAAATGACTCTTCTCTGAAGACAGGACTTGAGAAAATGCGGAGTGGCAAGCTGGCACCCAAGCCCCAGTCTCGTTGCACCTCTACCCGCTCAGCAGGTGAGGCCCCTTCAGAAAATCAGAGTCCCTCAAAAGGCCCTGAAGAGGCCAGCAGTGAGGTTCAGGACACAAAGGAAGTGCTTGTGCCTGGTGAGCAGGATGAACCACAGACACTGGGCAAAAAGGGCAGCAAAAACAGTATCTCTGTTTACATGACCCTAAATCAAAAGAAACCTGACTCTTCCAGTGCTTCAGTGTGTAGCATTGATAGCACAGATGATTTGAAATCCTCCAACTCTGAGTGTAGTTCTTCTGAAAGCTTTGATTTTCCTCCAGGCAGTATGCATGCACCTTCCACCTCCTCCACATCCTCCTCTTCAAAGGAAGAGAAAAAGCTCAGTAATTCCTTGAAAATGAAAGTCTTTTCCAAAAACGTCTCTAAATGCGTCACACCAGATGGCAGGACCATATGTGTAGGGGACATTGTTTGGGCCAAGATATATGGCTTCCCTTGGTGGCCAGCCCGTATTCTTACTATAACTGTGAGCCGGAAAGATAACGGCCTCTTAGTGCGACAGGAGGCCCGTATTTCATGGTTTGGGTCTCCAACAACCTCTTTCCTTGCTCTTTCGCAACTGTCCCCCTTTTTAGAAAACTTCCAGACACGCTTTAATAAGAAGAGAAAGGGCCTGTATCGCAAGGCTATCACAGAGGCAGCCAAGGCTGCCAAGCAGCTGACCCCCGAAGTACGGGCTCTGCTGACACAATTTGAAACGTGAACGTGGACAGTAAGGTAGGCAAGAACCATTGAAAGGCGCCCCAGACTTTCTAGTCTAGTTAGGAATAACTTCTTTCAAATAGTGTGGCCAAATTGGAGAGAGAAATTGCACCCAGTTGGCTGCTTTTTTAAAAAATAAAAACTTAATCTTATAGCCATTTTTAGATTGAGAAGCTAAACTGGACAAGCAATCAAATTTTATCTTAAGAGAGTGAGATTTTAGCAGTATTTTTCAGTTTTGAAGTCTAAAACCATCCCAAGGCATAGGAGCCATAGCCTCAACTGAAAATGAATTTTTGCAGGGACTATTAATTGCCATTTGTACTTAGTACTGTGTGTATGTGTGTTTGTATACATACATACTATATTTAAATATAACCTGTCACTGTGTGACACAGGTTGCATATTTGGGATTGCAGTAAGGGCTGGTGAGCAGGGAGGGAATAGTGTGGATATTTAATGACTACTTGTTTTTTAATTAATGAACACGTAAGCTTTTCTTTGGGCATAGTGGCGCAAGAGCTCGATACTAAGGTGTTTGAAAGACTGAGATGCTTGCTCTTCAGCTGCACACTGAGGAAATGGCCCAGTGTTTGGGATTCAGACTGTCAGGGCTGACTGGGGTTGGATCATCACTCTCCTTTGTTCAGTGGGGATTTAACAAAAACTTTCAAACTTCTGGTTTGGGAGTTCAGATAGGTTTGTTTGTCTTTGGATATGTAAATAGTTTGTTGCTACATTTGGTCAGATTTCTCCTGACTGGCTGTTCCTAAATTCTTAGGATACGTCCTGATGAATTACACTTTGTGAATTAATTGTCATATGTGTAATTGTTGCATTTTGGATGTACCTAATTTGATAATTTAAAAAAATATTTCCGTTTAAGGTATCTGTTTGCAGGTCAGAAAATGAGAAAATGTAATTGTGTAATGCTCTGATGTAAAAACACAAGCTGTAAATAAAATCAACTAAATCCAAATTATTTGTGTGTGTTTCTCAAAAAGCTTTGAAAAATTTCAAGATGGTAGAAAAACTATTCTTTGTAACTGTAGAGGAAGTGAAAAACCAAACTTACTTTCTTACTTGCTCTATCACAGAATATAGTATCTGAGCATAGATAATATGCTTAAACTGAGGTTTCGTAGCACAGAGGTCTGATATGCTTATAGATATGAGACCCTTCTGCCAGTTTCTCAAATGTATGGGTTTTAATTTTTTTCATTATTAGCCTTAATATTTCATTATTACATGCTTCATTTTTTTAATATTTGGGTAATTACAACAGTCTCTTCTCCTTGGTCTTCTGCCTCAAGTATCATTGCTTTTGGGGCTGGTACCTTAGCTCCTCATTTTTCTACATGGTCCATGCGTTTCTACGATTTGATTTTCCATTTTTAGCGTTGTATTAGTAAAAAACAGATCAGATTGCCTCTGAAAGGCAAGCTTATCCAAAGATTAAGTTCCTTTCACACTTTTTGTGTCTAACTTGTAAATTTGATATGTCAATTTAACGCTTTCGGTAACTAAGTTTTAAAGCAATTTTTTTTTGTGGTTTTCTAAGTAATCCAATTTGAAATACATTAGATACTATGGAATTAATGATGAAAAGATTAATGGAGATTTAAAACCAATAGACTTCTGTCAGTTTCCTGAAGGTTATGGACTTCTATGATTTATATACTGATTTCTGCAAAAGAATTTCTTCTGGGAAACTGAGTCAATGCTTTTTGATTGTAATAAACACACAATTGAAAAAAAAAAAAACAAGATGTTTCACTTGAATAGAACATATTCTTTCCTGCAAACAGAAACAAGTATACTATTCAAAAAAACTTTGATAACAGGTTGAAAGTTCACATCATGATTGAGGAGTTTTAAGGAAGTATCTTAAAAGATTTACTGAGTATCTGTTTCAGATTAATGAACTTGTTCAGATATTTTTGAAAGTTTGATTCTAAGGTTAAGATTTAAACAAGGCAGAGCAAAAAGTCACCTAAAATATGTCATTCCTAGGCTTCCTGTAATGATCCAGGTGAGTTTTATGTTAACATCTTGGTTTTGACGGTGATATTGCTATTAAAGTCAAGTGCTCTGGCAAGTGTGCTTTTGTGACATAAACCAAATTTGACTGGTTTCAGAAGCCATAGGAAGAAAGGAAATAGTCATGGTTGTTGAGTACACAAATGACACTCAACTTTAGTCCATACCTTTGAGGAAAAGATTTGAAGCATAATCACACTGCATGATCTGCAGTTACGCAGAATGGTCCCTCTCTTATAAACTAGCAGGCATGTTTCATTTGAAATTTCAATAGTGAGACAAGTTGTAAAGAACTTCTGAACACTAATAGTTCTATGTTAATGTCTTGTTGAAATAGAAACTTAAGCAGCTAGATAAATTTGCAGATCTAGAGTAGAAGTGGGTGATTGTAAGCCCTTTTTCTTTACATTTCTCTTTAAAAAGATAACAGGCATTTACTTGCATAAAAGTAACCAAATGGGTAAATTTTCCCCTTGCAAAGCGAAAACTAGGTTTGGTCTAGATCTCCAGTGGTTAATAAAAGTGGCTAAAACCAAGGATTAGCAAGGGGAGAAATCAAGTGAAGAGCTGTCAAAGCCAAAGCTGAATTTAATTCTGGAAATTCTCAGAAATTAAACCTGTGAGTATTATTTATTCCCTTTTAGTTTTCTAGGATTTATAGACTAGAAAGCTGACTTCATTTAGAAGGATCCATTCAACTCATAGATGTGGAACCTAAAATAGGCAGACACCTAAAATATGCAGTGGGAAGTCCATTTGCATTGCCTGATAGTGTGTCTTGAGGTGTATTTTTTTTTTTTTAATCCTTAATGGAAGATGTGTTGATTTTAGAGAGGAAGGACATGAGAAGAACATCAATGGCAGCCTCCCACACTTGCCCAGACTGGTATTGAATGCAGTGCATCCTCCTGGTATAGCTGAGCCACCCAACCCAGGGTCTGATGTGGTTTTGATCAGAAAAATCTATAAACAGTAATTTTATATTAGTGCTAAGTACAATAGGAATATAGGACTGCAGGAAAAAAATAAGGAATTGTAAAGTCAAGTGTACATTAGTGCGTTTCTAGTTTGTAAAATACTGTGTTGCTATCCCTCTTTGAGCAGGTTTACTTAACGTGGTTTTGCTGAAGGAAAGCTACATCTTTACATTTCCTTTGTAGGTATCCTTGATATAGCTGAATTGGGATTTGGAAAAGACAATTTGGATAGAAAATTAGCTTTCCTCTTAAATTGTGGGCTTTTCTATGGTTTGTGCTGCATTGGTTCACTTTTGTTAAGTAGTCAAAGCAGGGAAGAGACTGGCAGGTGTCTAAATGTCACTGATTCAGGGTGTTTTGATTCGGGTCAGGGGATGCCCTCCAATAGGTAATTGGCAGGGACAGTGAATATCTTATTTTAAGTTGGGGCAAGTTTAGGGTTTGCTTGGGGGTTATATTATGGCTGCTGTTGAAGTGCCTGACACAGGGAATTCAGAAGTGTAACAGGAGGCTGGTCGGTGCCATGCCAGTTGGCAGGAGGAAAGAGAACGGCTAAGCCGCATTAGTTACTTGTGCTTAATTCTGACTTGGTTAATAGGCCCTTCATATTCTGTATATATAGTGTATGTATACTTACTATATTCAACAAAGCAAATAGAATTAAAAAGTGAAAGTTTTAGCAATTAATATTCTGATATGCTATTTTGAATGAAAGAATAGGAAGTTTAAGGTTGTAGTGATTCACATGGTCTATATGCTTTTAGTTTTCCAAGATGTCACAGTGTCTTATCACAGATAGTTGACACTAAGAAGACAAATAGTTCAACTCTGAAAAGTTTTTACTCAGGTAAGACACTTAACATTTATGGACTGAAGGATTTTTTTTCCTTTCCTTGAAATTTTAGATGGAAATTCTTTCCTTGTCATATCAATAGAGCACTGTAATTTTTTTGGTATTTTATGTCGTTAAATGTATCGAAGCTCAAATTGACTATTTTACCCAGTACTTAAATTGTACAGTTCTATGGCATTAAGTATACTCACATTGCATAGCCATCATCACCATCTATAATTAAAATTTTTTTAATTTGTTTTTATTTTTAGAGAGGGAGGGAGAGAGAGGCAAACATGGACTTGTTTCACTTGTTTGTGCATTCATTGGTGGTTCTCTTATGTGCCCTGACTGGGGATTGAACCTGCAACCTTGGCAAATCAGGACGGTGTTCTAACCAACTTGAGCTACCAGACCAGGGCTTGTAATTTGTTCTTTGATAGAAATCTTTTCAATTTGGGATGCTGTTCTAGAAGGTGTTTGGAAATGAAGTCACAGGAGTGTTTTCCTTGGTCAGCACTGATGGGAACGTGCCACTGGCCGCCTGGCCTCCAGAATCCCTTCTACCCCAACCTGCAGCCCTGCACAGTGCTCACGCCGTTCCCACTTTCAGCACTGGAGCTGCCTCTTGGTGAGATTCTAGGTGGATTAGCATGGCTGCATTTACCCAGTAAATACTCCTAAGAGTAAGTTTTTAGGTCAAAACCATTCCCTCTCAGTGATGAAAAAAATATTTTGGATAAATTTATGAATATGGAAACCATTTAAGTTATTTGTTACAAAGTTAATTAAATTAGATGCAAAACTTATTTACATAGTATCATATTTTCCCCATATTTTCAAATTTGTGTATTTATACTTTCCATTTTTTATGTCTGTACAACTAATGGAAAACATGTTTCTTGACACATAGATAACTATTAAAATACAATTCTAAGATCATCTATCACACTGTGGGAGGAAAGAATGCATTTTTATACTGTGTCTTTAAATCCATCTTGGGATGAATTGAATCAAAAATTTTTTAAAGATTTTTTATTTTTAGAGAAAGGGGAAGGGAGGGAGAGAAGCAATGTGTGGTTGCCTCTCATGTGGCCTCCCCTGGGGACCTGGCCCACAATCCAGGCATGTACCCTGACTGGGAATTGAACTGGTGACCCTTTGGT